TTAGCATGTGTGCCAACCACAGGTCTCCCACACTCTCTGGCGTTGAACCATATGGAAAGTCCAACAGTGTGATCAGCTACAGAAGTTTGGCAAGTCCTAGGGCTGCTTTCTTCCAGAGGATAGTATGTGTTATAAATGTTGTAACTAGCTCTCTGTTTCTTAGCAGTAGTCTGATATATCTATTTGTAAGTTTATATTACATAAAGTACAATTATGAATGATACCTTGATAGTTCTGTTTTATTTATTTATTTATTTATTTATTTTTTCCATTCTTAGAGAAACAAAATCCAATAATTTTACCCAGGGGACTATTACCATATATTTGTTCTAGAAAAATTATCTTGATTTACTAGAAAGTTCTACGTTATGTTTGAAAAAACTTGCTGAACTTTCAATTGCTGTATGGCAATATTTTTTAGAGACAAATTATTAGATATGAAGAGCCAGTTGATCCATTTTCTGACCTAACAAAATTAGATTTTAGATATTCAACATTTATTCACAGTTAAGCTTTCTTTTTCATCTGCTTCTGGGAAATCCTCTCATGTGTAGGTTTTCTTGTACTAATAGAGTCCTGTTACTTTTTATATATTTCACATTATTTTGAGTTTTAATATTATACTTTTCTAATTCTATTCTTAAGTGAGCCTGTTTTGTTCCATTGATATATTTTTATTTCATTTTATTTTTTAACGTTTACTTATTTTTGATGGAGAAAGAGAGTGGGGGAGGGCAGAGAGACATGGAGACAGAAGATCTGAAGTAGCCTCTGTGCTGACAGCAGTAAGCCCGATGTGGGGCTCGAACTCACAAACCGTGAGTTCATGATCTGAGCAGAAGCTGGATGCTTAACTGACTGAGACACCCAGGTACCCCCCACTTTTTAAAGTTGATTTGTTTATTTCTGAGAGAGTGAGGGGGAGAGGGAAAGTGAGAGAGGAGCAGAGAGAGAGAGAATCCCAAACAGGCTTCGTGCACAAGGCCCGATGCAAGTCTCTAACTCATGAACCATGAGATCATGACCTGAGCTGAAATCAAGAGTTGGATGCTTAACTAACTGACTGAGTTATTTTTTAAATGAGAGATAAGATAAATCAAAATATTAAAAAATGTAAAATGTTAACTGAAAAAATAATTTCAAAGGACACAAAAATATTTTGGTCTAAATAAATTGTAGCCTGTTAACTAAATCTTAGCTCAGCAAAAGTAAACATCAGAGTGCTTGACACTCATGCACAGATTTTAAAATATTATAGTTAAAGAATCATGTTTTCATAATTATGTTAGAATTACAGGATATCAGGGAAAGCCACAACTGATGTGATTTTTACAGTTAGTAAAGTGCTTGTGAACAAAATCTCTTTTCAAAGCTTTTCCCTTTGAAACTACCAAAGGAGCCTGGAGACCTGACAGACAGTGGTGGACCAGAAGACCTAAACTATACTTTGGCCTCTTTCCAAACCTTATATACTCAGAGCACCAATCTTAAAGAATCATCTGTGACCTTTTATTGAATTTCTTCAGGTGCTATAGGGGCTTCAGCAAGGCACGGCAGATTTCTTTTTCGAAAAGCCAGAATACTACTCTTTTCCAGAGTAATGTTCTGTCTCTGTATTATATGGGAGGCATAATCTTCAGCTCTCTTCAGGTCCCTCAAAGGCTTTCTGGCTAGTTCCAGGGGTCCTATCGTTGTAGAGCCTCTATGCAGAATCCAGAGTAGATCCTTAGCTCCTTGCTACTGTATTATAATTTCCACGTCTTTACAATTTTCATCTCTCTTGGAAAAAGAAACTAAAGAGAAATAAAGGACAAAACACCTCTTCCTTGATTCTATTGCTTTCAATTTAGATTTTTCATTCTTTGTATTCACTATAAACCTTCCTAGGAGGGTAGCTTTCTCTCTGACTGTCTGCTTGTACAACATGAGTTCTCTTGTTAAATGCCTTTGATGTGGTTCCATTCCATGTTTTTATGTAAATGACTCCATGGAATGTCATCAATGCTCATAACCACCAAACCCAACAGCTTCTCTTTAATCTTTCTTTTTTCTTCATCAACATATTTGTTATTCTGGTTTATCTTCTCCTGGATGAAATCCTTTTCATTTAACTACAGTCATGTAGGGCTTTGATGGCCCTCAATCTGAACAATTTCTCCATTTTTTTTGAGGGTTCTTTAATCCTTCTTTCCTTGTACTTAATGGATAGTTTCCTATCATATATGTGTATTTCTCACATCGGTTGAAATGGATTTATTCATTCAATGCCAATGTCACAAAAGTAGGAGACATCCCTTACGATTAAAAAAAATTATTTTGGGAAGAAAGGGAATTCTTTTTCAAAACATGTAGAATAATGTACAATTCAACTATTTAATTCATAAATCATAAAAAACAGGGTTAATTAATGGACAGCACATTCAAAATGGATTACTAAGTTAAAGTAATGGTTTGGAGGATTAACTTATCCTTTTAACATTGACACGAATTATCTCCTAATTTTACTGTGAAAGGAAAAATAATAGATTATGGGTATGATCCAGCATGGTAATTCTTTTCCTCCTTTACAAGTAGTCTATCCTTTATTCACACTGTTAATAAGCTTTACAGCTTCTTTCCTGAATGGAGTATAACTCAAATGTGCTTTGAGTTATAACTTTCCTGCATAAGGAACAACCCTACAAATGTCAGTATAAGTGCATAGATCAGATTTGGACTTCTGTTATGGAAAACAACCAAAGCCATATCACAGAATTCTGTGCCAAATCTGTGGCAGGGTTGTCTCAAAAATATGTTGACATAATAGGAAACAAAATATCGGGAAACACTCACTACATTAAGACAATTGTCTAGCTTGCAATATAATTGGTTTGATGCAATCTACCCTGTTTTCAAGGACGAAATATATTTACAAGTTTTAAACACACTTAGTTATATTTAATTAGCAACTTACTATATGAGATATTATGTTTCAAACTTTTAAAACTTCTGTTCTTATGAAGAATTTCAATGACTTGAATGCAGAGTTTTTTTGACTTTCATATCTCAGACAATAATTTACTCATGACTTATACATATTTCAACAATGACTTATACATATTTTTAAGGTAACATAATTGTCTTGCATATTGTATTGAAGCCCTTTACAGACTTTCCAAAAACATACTTTTAAATATATATTTTGAGTAATGAGGGCATATCATTTGTTCACAAACATTAGTATTGATTAGAAATCACCTGAAAGGTTTATTAAAACACAGATTACAGGGAAAATCCAATAGATCTATAGAGAGACTTGAGAATTTGCATTGCCAACAGGTCCCTAGATGATGTTGATTCTGCTGGTCCTGTGACCACACTTTGAAAGAACTGATAGAGGGGCGCCTGGGTGGCTTAGTCGGTTAAGCGTCCGACTTTCGCTTAGGTCATGATCTCGCGGTTTGTGGGCTCGAGCCCTGCGTCGGGCTCTGTGCTGACTGCCAGCTCAGAGCCTGGGGCCTATTTCAGTCTGTGTCTCCCTCTCTCTCTGACCCTCCCCTGCTCACGCTGTCTCTCTCCTAGAAATAAATAAAAACATTAAAAAAAAAAAAAAAAGAAAGAACTGATAGAAACTGAAAACAAGTTTATAAGAATTCTGAGAATTCCAGGGGTGCTTGGGTGGTTCAGTAGGTTAACCTTCTGACTCTTGATTTAAGCTCAGGTCATGATCTCACGGTTCTGGGATCAAACCCCAGGTCAGGCTCTATACTGACAGTGGGGAGCCTGCTTGGGATTCTCTCTCTTTCTTTCTCTCTCTTTCTTTTTCTCTGCCTCTCCCCCACTTGTGTTCTCTTGTGCTCTCTCAAAATAATAAATAGGCACTAAAACAAGAATGCTGAGAATTCCAAATTTTAGATAACTTGTAAAAAAATTATCTACCAACATCCAAGTTAAAATAAACCATTTTTCATTAGTTACTAATGAAATTCTTTATATTATTAACTTTTCAAGTAATTAAATTTAGAATTCACAGGTATGCTGGCTGCCAAAAAGTCTCCCTGCATTTAACTTCATTTTGGCATACCATTTTATGTGAAATAAAATAATACAAAAACTGCAGGTGAAATTTTCTAACTATCCACACTTGAACTATGCAAGATTCACTGGGTTATGAAAAGTCCTAAACTCTCTTCTACCGAAAGTATCTCAGATTAAGTATCAGAATACAGAGCAGTGAACAAATCACCAGTGATTAGATGATAGATGTTCATAATAGCTTTTGATTAAAAATATTAAAATATTTCCTACTTTATTAAAACCTAGTTTTTTATATAAATATCTCAATATTATAACACATTTATGTCACTTATTGATGAACTCCAACTACATTTTTGATTCTCTCGTTTTGAGTTGCTCAAATGTTGTGTGCTTACTTTTGTGGGGAAAAGAACTGCAGAACTGAACAATGAAAAAACATCTTGAAGTGTAAGGTACATTTCTATAGGCTTGGATGCCTTGTTAATAGTTTCACATAAAAATTCCAATAACTCTATTCAATAAATTAGTTCCTTAGTTCATATCACTTTTTATTACCTGTATAAGTTGTATTCTATCTGATCTTTTCCTTGTGTATGTGTGATATATCTGACATAGATTATAAATCAGAAAGTTAAATGTTTATGAATCCCTTTTACATGGTTAAGAATTCTATAAGCTTTTTAGTGGATTCACTTGAGATTTCTAATTATAAGTTCCTTATTTTAGATTTTTGGCATTTTCCAGTGGCACTAAAATTAATGTCCCAGCATGAGCAGCAGGACATCAAGAGCGCAATCAAGGCTGAGAGGCAGGTGACGGCCATGCCACCTTGGCAATCAGTCTTTTTGGCTCAGATAATCTTCAAGTTGCTCTCCCATCCTTACCCCATGTGTCTTTCTCCCACTGGTCTCTATGTTTGACCTGTCCTAAAAATTTATAATCAAGAAATTATTATTGTTGTTTTCTAAAGCTGGCATACTTACAATCAGGAGGCATCTTTTCCATAAATATTGCATAATATTCTTTTAGAAGTTCAAAATTTTCCTGATTAATACTTTCCTGCAAAGAGACATCTCCAAACCTAAAAACAGAACAAAGAAAACAGTTATGGGTTATAAAGAAGTTCCTAAAAGTGACGCTTTTTTTACCCCTTATTTTTAAATAGATGACAGACTTAAACCACCACCTCCTCCTTTTGTTTAGAGTTAAACATGTTCCCAATATTTTGCCATTAAGTCATGTTAAAATCTAGGCACTCTTCTGGATTTCCTCTCTTTTCTCCACCCCATCCAGTTTTCATTGATCTTTTCACATCTCTGTCAGTCTTTCCTTCTTTTTCCTTAACACTGTAATTATACATTAGGCATTTAATTACATCCACTCTAGACTGGATATACAGCTTCCAAAATACCCCAGTGCTATGCCTTCAATCTCTTTCCCTTCCAGTCTCTCCTTTACACCATGGTCAGATCATTCATTCATTCAACAGATATTTGTTTAACTTTGACTGTATGCCATATACAGCGCGTGTAATAAACAAAATATTTTAGAAGTGAATCTAATACCTGTTCCTCATATCAACTCACTAAACTTCACTGACTCTTCTCTACTTGTAAGGACAAAGTCTAACCCCCTTAGTTTAGAATCTAACTTCTCCAGAAAGGCTTCCCAAAACCCTTGTAGGAATGTAGTTATATTCTTCTCCCCCATCAGCAGCATTCTGATACCTTTGGAACTTTTCACATGTTATTCTCCCTCTAACTAGAATTTTTTATCTTCCTGTCTGCTTGGTCAATTCTTCCTTCAGGCTTTAGGGTCATGTATTCCATGAAACCTTCCTGATGCATTCCCCTCCCATCTGTGAATCACTTTCTTTCCTCCACTATCCCTGCCCCTTCCACATCTCTTTGCTTCTTGCATGAGTCAAACTGTAACATAGTATTTATTGACCTGGCTTCCTTACTGGATGGTAAGTTCTTTTAGAACAGGGATCATATCCATTTTTCTTGTCACACTGCATGCTCCCTGTGTCCCTTAGCTTGGCAGAGTAGTGCCTAGTACAAGGTAATGTTCAATATCTATGCTGAGTTAAACTTGGAGAATGCGAGTATAGATGAAGGAAAACCTACAGGAGGATTTCTCTTAAACTTTGAAATACACTCTTTTAACTTTTTTCATGAATTATAATCAACTGGTATTAAAAAAAATATCACCCTTGCTGGAGTAATACTATTGTTGTGGACTAAATGTTTATGTCCTCCCCCCAAAATCATATTTTGAAGCTCCCAAGCCCCAGTAGCTGTGTTTAGAAATGGAGATTCTAAGGAAGTAATTAAAGTTAAATGAGGCGGGAGCCTTAATCTGATAGGATTAGTGTGTCCTTGTGCACAGAGACACTTGAGAGCTCACTGTCTCTCTATGTGCACAGAAATAAGAGACCAAGTGAGCACACAGAGAGAAAGTCAGAGAGAGCTATTACCAGAAACCAAGTTGGCTAGAACCTTGACCTTGGAATTCTCAGCCTCTGGAATGATGACATATACATTTCTGTTGTGTAAGCTGCCCAGTCTGAATGATTTTGTTGTGATAGCCTAGAATAATTAGTATTTATTATTTAAAAATTTTAACGTTTTATTTATTTCTGAGAGAGAGAGAGAGAGAGACAGCGTGACCAGGGGATGGTAAGAGAGAGAGACAGGTACAGAATCTGAAACAGGCTCCAGGCTCTGAGCTAGCTGTCAGCACAGAGCCTGATGAGGGACTTGAACCCACCAACCGTGAGATCATGACCTGAGCCGAAGTTGGACGCTTACCCGACTGAGCCACCCAGCTGCCCCATTTTAATACTTATTTAATGAATTTAATACTTATTTAATACTTATTTAATGGATACACATAACATACATGTTGGCAATGGGTAAATAAATATTGCACCTGTATTATATAGCATACCTAACTTGCAGATGTTGCCTGGTAAAGCTCAAAATTCAGATTCAGAGAAATAAGGCTCAGAGAACAGAGAGGGAGTAATTTACTGAAATCAGTAATTGCATGATGTCTAAGTGTCAGCCTTCCTGCTTCTCTTCAAGCTCTTCAAGTTTTTCTGTACTTTGCCATTTATCTCCTTTTCAACTCTTATGTGTCTTTACAGCTTCCAGATATGAAAAAAAAAGTTATGTGTGTAGTGTATCACACACAGGTGCACCACACATACACATAACATATGCAAGATCGATAAGAGAGAAAAAAGGAAAGGGTCTTTCTATTTTTTGATGTTTATTTTTGAGAGAGAGAAAGAGACAGAGCACAAGTGGGAGAGGGCAGAGAGAGAGGGAGATGATGAATCCAAACATCCTGAATCCAAAGCAGGCTTCAGGCTCTGAGCTGTTAGCACGGAGCCCTATATGGGGCTTGAATTCATGAACCATGAAATCATGACCTGAGCCGAAGTCAGATGCTTAACCAGCTGAGCCACTCAGGTGCCCCTAGAAGGGACTTTTTATAATAAAGTGACTAACAACTAAAATAGTCACAGTGACATAAATGATGTAAATTAACCTAATGTAGAGGGCTTGAAAATACAGTGCTAACTATTCTTTGAAAGTCTGTACATGGTGACTTCCATATCTCTCTAGATGATGCTCACAGGTTGAAACTTATTAATTCAAACCCCGAACACTCTGTAGTTTAGTGTACCAAAGAAGAGACAATTAATTTAGAGTACTGTTTTGTTCCCCCTCCCTTACATTGTGTAATTTACATTCATAAATATCATTCATCTCAACCACTGAACTTGCTGTGAGGTACATATATACCAATGACTGGAATATAATCTGACTTCAGGTACTGATTTGCAAAAGTGTTCAATTATCAAAGTAAACTTGTACAACACAGTGAATACAATTATATTCTGATTTATGCATACTATAAGAAAAAAGATTAATGGCTTCTGCACAGTTGGAAATTAAACATGAAATACAAAGCTGCCACCTAATTTTGTAACTGACAAGTGAGAATTATGAAAACCTATGCTGTTCAGGAAATATCTTTTGGATAAGAGGGAGAAGGAAAAATCATTGGAAAATAATAGATAAAAACTGGCACCTTGAGCATCACTGAAATTCAGGAGGACTGTAAATGCAGTGGCATTTTTAATTTAGTAAAAGACATTGGTAAAGGTGTAACACATACTTATCAAGTCATGGCCAAGAATATGCTAGGCACTTTTAAACTGATACCTATGGGGGAAGGAGCCATTTGGAGAGTGAATTATGGATAAGAAGGCATTTTAAATATGGAAGACCATCAAATTCTCCAAAAGTTTTGCCTGTAGGGGAACTTCTCCAGCCAGGATGGTGACTTCTTTCTCTAAAATCTTTAAAAAATGTGTTCTGTGAACTTTAACCCTCACCCACATTTTCAATAATCTCTACATGTGAACCATGTAAGATGCAAAAGTAACTCCTCTGTTTTCTCACAAAAATGTTTTTGACCCTAACTCTTGGCACTATGTACAATCATCTGTTGTTTGACTAGGCAAGTTATTATGAAAAGATGTGCTAAGCTTGCCCAATAACAGCTATTTTAGTAAACAAAACAAAAGGGAATAACAGACTGTGTTTTAGGTCCAGAAAAGTTTGACAAAGTTAGCTGAGTTTACATTGTTGAAATACATACGAACATAAAAACTTCTTTAAAAAATTATTTATTTAATTGGAGAGACAGAGAGTGCAAGGAGGATGGGGGCAAAGAAAGAGACGGAGAGAGAGAATCTCTAGCAGACTCTGCACTGTCAGTGCAGGAGCGGGACGAAGGGCTCAAATGCACAAACTGCGAGATCGTGACCTATCTGAATCAAGAGTCAGTCGTCTAACCAACTGAGCCACCCAGGCACCCCAAAAGTAAAAACTTTTTTGAAGGGGAGAGAGCCAGAGCATGAGCAGAGGAGGGGCAGAGAGAGAGGGAGACGCAGAATGTGACGCAGGCTTCAGGCTCCAAGCTGTCAGCACAGAGCCCAACACAGGGCTCGAACTCACAAGCCATGAGATCATGACCTGAGCTGAAGTCAGACGCTCAGCTGACTTGAGCTACCCAGGCACCCCAGCCCCCCAAATGTAAACACTTCTAAAACTGGATACACACTAAACTTAGAAACAAGAAGACAGTTAATCCCTGTAAAGAATTTGGTATTGGCATCAATATTTTCCTCATTTCTTTGCCACATTTAAATTTGATGTGGGCCAGGGATCCTTAAATATGAATATTTCTCCTTGCTATCTCGAATAACCTGGTCATGATAAAAAGGGAGACTGTTTCCCATGAGTCTTTCTGAGTTTTGTGTTTTGTGGACAGGAGCAGATGGAAATGCTCAGCATACAATGAAAAAGAACACATGGAGGACCAGTCTTACACCTGAAGCTTACCTCTCAGCAAGAGTTTGTTGTTCATTGATTCCAACATTAAAAAGTACTGGATACACATGAAGCAATTGCCCTTCTTTAATCTGCAGGGGCAGGGCCTCAAACATTCTCGCTGGAAGCTTCACCTCTACCACGTAATGTTCACTAAAGCAAGCAGAGGACAAAGAGGAGTGTTGTTTATTTCATTCAGTTTTATTGGAAAGAAATAATAAAGCAGTTGGAACATAGAGCTGATTTAGCTTTTTGGCTGCTATTTGCTTATTTTCTGTTACTAATTCATTCAATAATCACTTCATTCACTTTGCTATTAAATTACTTGGTATAAAGAATTATTTACATTTTTAAAAAATTTTTATCCATTACTTTGAGATCCTTTAGGAAAGGAAGAATGTTTAGTTCATTTGTACACCAGGGCCATGGGCATAAGAGACTCAATATTTATTTTCTTTATTTAATTATTTTTAAAACTCAGCCAGTCTCAAGAATAAGGAAAGTAATTTAATGATGGATTTTTCAATATAGTGAAACTAATAAGCCCAATCATTTAAGGCATTTCTTAGCACGGTTTGATTATTATTATTGATGAACCTCCCTCTTTATGATGGTTTGACTGAAATGTAATAGTTTCATTATTTAAGATGTAACCTTTGGGGGTTCCTGATCATTTTTGGAACATTAGCATGTCACAGGAGTGGTTTTTCATTGGAAATCTCCATTAAAAATTACTCCTACTGTTTGGTGTTGAAAACTTAAATGAGGATTCACAGAATACGGTCAACGAGAATAGCCGCTTATATATTTTCAAACTTGACATCTTCTGATGCAGTGTGAATTGAGTATTAAAATACAGAATTTTACTCAGAATTTATGAAATTCCATGTGTTTCTGGAACCATATATAGTGTTGGGATCATAATACATGTGTTGGGAAAAGAAGCATAGGACAATTAATTAGTGAGTCTCTTTGTGAGAATATATTTAGTTTTCTAGTATAACAATACTGACACATATTCTGGATGATTGACTCTGAGACTTGTTTCTTACCTGAGCTTCAAACCAGAGAACCAGGACATCAATCTGGCAAGCAGGGATGTTAGCACTGGCCTCAGATGAATGGCTACATTTTCTTTTTAAAATTGCTCTCAGTGCCCTTTACAATAGCCTGACTAACAGAGGGCTGATGTTTATTTATTTCAAGTCTTTCAAGAATATAAGAAATATATATATATATATGAAGTATATAAGAAGTCCATGTGTAAAGGTGCACTGAAGGAAAAACATTATATAATATTTTATAATAACTTTTTGTCAGCTTGATTCAAATACAACTGACATACTCATGCATTTTAAGTGCAGAATTCAGAGTTTAAGCAAATTTATAGAGTTGTGCAGTCCTGACTATAATCCAGTTTTGGAACATTTCCATCACCTTAAACAAATCCCTCATGACAGTGTGCATTCAAACCCCAATCCCCCTGCCAGCCCCAGGAAATCACTGATCGATTTCCTATCTCTGCAGATTTTACTTTTCTCCATATTTTATATAAACAGAGACATGTAATATATAGTCTTTTGTGTCTAGAATTTTTCACTTAGCATAATGACTTTGAAGTCACTATGTCGTAGCATGTATCAGTAGTTTGTTCCTTTTTACTCCTTTTTAGAACAGCATTCTATTGTATAGATATACCACATTTTGTCTATCTACTCACAAACTAATGGATACTTGGATTACTTCACGATTTGGACTATTGTGAAAAATGCTGCCATCAACATTTATGCATTAGCTGTTGTGTGGACACATGCTTTCATTGTCTCTTGGGTATATACCTAAGAGTCATACAGTAATTTTAGTTTTAATTTTTTAAGAAACTGCCAAACTGTTTCCAAAGTGGCAGCACCACTTTATATGCCCACCAGCAATGTATGAGCATTCCAGGTTTCCGACATACTCGGGAATACTTGTCATTATCTGACTTTTTGATTATGATGATTTCTACTGTGAGTGAAGTGGTATCTACGTGTGGTTTTATTTATTTTTTATAGTTTATTTATTTTTGAGACAGAAAGAGATACAGCATGAGTGGGGGAGGGGCAGAGAGAGAGAGAAGGAGACACAGAATCTGAAACAGGTTCCAGGTTCTGAGCTGTCAGCATAGAGCCTGATGCAGGGCTCAAACCCAGGAACCCTGAGGTCTGACCTGAGCCGAAGTCGGACGCTTAACTGACTGAGTCATCCAGGCGCCTCTCCAGTACCACAGAGTCTTGATTACTATGGTTTCATACTAAGTTTTGAAATCAGAAAATATGTCTTCTTTTGTCCTTCTTCTATAAAATCGTTTTTGGAATTCTGGGTCCTTTGCATTTCCATACAAATTTTAGGTTTAGCTTGCCAATTCCTGCACAAAGACTACAGGGATTTAGACAGCAATTGAACTGAATCTATAGATCAATTCGTGGAGAACTGCCATCTAAACAATACTGAATATCCTAATCTGAGAACACGGACTGTCTTTTCTGTTTGTTGGTTCTTATGAATTTCTCTAAGCACGATTTTGTGTGTTCTGTGTACAATTTTTAGGGTACTTTGTTAAATTTGGTCCAATGTAATTATTATTATTTTTTTGGGTGCCATTGTGAATGACATTGTTATCAGCAGCACTGCTGTGCCCAACAAGTTTTCAGGTGTGCTTTTTCCTGCTCTCCAGCCTAAATCAAGTCAGCCCCCGCTGGTAGTGAAACCGCGGGTCTTCTCAGGATGCGTCACTGCAGCGGAACTGTGCTGACCCAGCTGCCCCGCTGGCTCAGATGGGAGCGACTCCAGGCAAGAGAGCCAACAGACACCGACGGTCTTAACCAATGTCCACTAGTTTTTCATCAATAAGTACTTGTGAGTTTGTGTACACATTTATTTCCTTAGTCTCAAGATGGTTGTTCTGGACAGTTCTGTCCAACTGGAGTGTTGCTGTTGGGAGAGAGGATTTGCCAAGGTGCTCACTTTGCTATTCTAAAAGTTCCACTGGCATCTGTTTCATAACCTTAGAATTTAGGTACAGCCTGTACACTCCCTCGGAAAAAGCCTCTACACTCTGCCAACACCAAATGGCCTGGTAAGTTTTCTGTATTAATTGTGATCAAAGTATTAGTTTTCCACTTTTGATAATAATCTCCATGGTAATATAGAGTGGTATTATTTTCCAGGTGTGTGTATGAATGATTTTTTTTCTTCCAATGCATGGAAAATTAAGCATGAGTTCACAGATGAAATATTTAGTTTTATGAGGGTATTTTTTCTTTATGTATAAGAAATAGTCACCTTTCATTCAATCATGTGTCTCTGAGCATCCTTCATACAAAGTTTAAAATAACTATGATATGTTGGCTATAGACAAGAAAGCAAGGTTAGTTAAATATTTTTTTATGTTTACTTATTTTGAGAGAGAAAAAGAGAGCACACACAAGTGAGGAGGGGCAGACAGAAGGAGAGGTAGACTCTCAAGCAGGTTCCACACCATGAGTGCAGAGCTTGATGTAGGGTTTGAACTTAGAAACCATGAGATCATGACCTGAGCTCAGATCAAGAGTCAGGTGCTTAACCGACTGAGCCGCCCAGGTACCCCAAGAAAGCAAGTTTAGTTTGAACTTTTCTACTTACTTTCCTCTCCATCTCTCTGCAGTATGAAAAGGGCCTTCTCTTTAGTACATTCATATTTTTCATTGTGATCTAAGTATGTTGCAAATTTCAAATATCCTCATGCAGCATTTAAAAGAACTAATTCCCAAATGGTTACAATCTGGTGGACTTCTGACTGAAATGATTTACCAAAGGATGTAATTTTTCTGTTGGAGGTCTATTCTACACATCATCATTTTTCTTAATTATTTCTATTTTGTCCGTCATACACTGACCTTCAAAGCTATTTATTTAAAACCATTCTCGGAAATTTGAGTCTGTGAGTGAATTGTCAAAAATAATTAAGAAAAATAGTGGTATATGCCCCTGACACAGAAATAGATCCTTTCTAAAATGTTGCTGCTTTTAATAGAATTTAATATAAAGTCATTTCAGGAATTACGACACTATTAACCAAATGACTCCAGCAAAAGTAAAAACATCCAGAGCTCTGGAATAGACACTAATAAAGTGAAAAATGATCTTCTGATGCCTGCTATTCTTTTGAATTCCTCATATTTCATGGGGAACACTACCAGGATCACCTCACCACCGGACAATTTATAAACATTCATGAGACTTCTGGGAGTTTTTCAAAATCTTCTCCCGTTGTATCACCTAATGTATTTCACACAAAAAAGGGTAAAAAAAGAACAGAAGAAAATTTTCCAAGCCAAACCTTAATTCTCTTTGGCTCCTTTGTCAGGAGTTAAGACAAATATCTACCAAAGCTTGGTCTCAAGGAAATGGGTACCACTTACCGCCTTCCTGTGATAACTGGCAAGACATCATTGGACTTGGCTTCAATTATTTTAAATGCAACTTTCTTCAAATCTGAAATGCCAACAGCCATGTCCTCTAGCATTCCGATTTCATCACCTACACAAGGGAGAAGGAGTACTGTTACAAATATACTATTGAAGAAAGTGTCATTTGGTACTACACCTCCCTGCTAAGATTTGTTCTAGCCTTTTAGTGAATGAGTTTCTGAGTGCAGTGAATATATTCTAAACACTTTTCCTCAGAGGCTGAAGGATTTCACCAGTGAAATAAATACCATTTCAGTGGACTCCAACAGTCCAAGTACCCTTTGAGGGAAAGAAGAATGTGTACATTTGCTGGAAGGCTGTAGAGAAGTTTTAACTCCTTTACAAAACAAAGTATCATGCAGATCTCTTTCCATTGGAAGGAATGAAATTTGATTTTCTAGAAATAATAGAGATGGCTGAATTGTAGACCACTGACCCAGGCTCACGCTAGTTTTATTTCTCAGCACACTAACAAAGAAAGCCTAATAAGGAGGAAATAAGTTAGATGCCAGATCAACACTATCCAATACAAATATAATGCAGGCTACATATATAATTTTAAATTTCCTGCTGGTCACGTTTTTAAAAGAATAAAATTTACAAAGGTGAAATTAATATTAATTATAGATTTTACTCTAACCCAATATACCCCAAATATCTTTTAGTTATGAATCAATATAAAATTATTACTTATTAATATAAAACTAGTTTTTACTAGTCTTGGAAATCTGATGTGCATGTCTAGTACATATTGATTTGGACTAGACACGTTTCAAGTGCTCAATAGCCCCACCAGGCTATGTATTGAATAGTGCAGCTCCAGACATTCGAGAGTTGGGACTTTAAAAATCCAGTCATTGAAACTCTGTTGGCAAAGAGCCTTTTATATTAAAAAAGCCAGATGGGTGCTCAGGACTCCACTACGAAATAATCTATAATTCCAATTTCAAAACATAATGAGAATAAGAGTACAGTTACAAAGTGAATGAATGCACAGAGCTGAAAGTTACATTATTTCTGTGAGGCCTGATGTCATAAAGGTTTATTTCTCATTTTTAAGTTTAACCATAGAATCTATGGATCAACTATCCTTATGAATAAGAATACGATTTTAGCATGTGCCAAAGCAATACTCACTATATGTACTTAGCAGTCCTTCATATTGCACTATCAACCCCACTGTGTGGAGCTGCTGTAGGAAGCCAGGGTCATGCAAACTTGTATGTAGTTTGATGATAAAACCGCAAACTAATCCAGCAAGCTAAAAAAAAAAAAAAGTCAATGAATAAATTGACTGGGGTCAGCAAACTTTAATTGAAAAATATTTAAGATTTTTGAGGCATCACAGATTTAATTAAAATTTTTCAAGTATGTGAAACATCCATGTAATAGTGGGATACACAGACAGTTGGGTTAAGATATTTCCTTTGCCTGGAATGTTTAGAAAGAGAGGCTTCTGTCTCCTTTCCTCCATATGTATATCTATAAAACTCAGGTGTAGGTGTGGAGGCGGAAGGGAGAAGAACGGCCCCTAGGACAGCCACTGTGATGGAGACCAGCCTTGGTGTCATGAGATAGGGCTGGGGGTGGGCAAAGAGGTGGTCCTGTCAAACCCTTCTTTAAGCATTACTGCCCTGCAAACTGAATTTATAAGCAAACAAAACAAAAAAGAGATCATTATGAGGCCTTGTCCTGGGATTCCTCAGGGAGCTGTATAAATGAGAGGCTGCAAACAGATCCCTTGTGCCAGTCCCAGCTGTCACCTGCTGTGGAAGGCAGCCGCCCCTTTCTTTCCACCCTGTACTGTGTGGAGACCCCAGAGCACAATACCATGACAGGATGGGCAGCCTGTTCTTCACGGACTCTCTGCACCATGAAACAGAATGTACATTGCAGAGTCTTGGCCATCTCTTTGCAGAAATAAATACTTAAGATCTCATAAGCTGTTTCCATTCGGTTCATATTTACTATGAACAAGAAAACCTCATACCAAACATTTAAGTAAAGAATCCCTTTAAAAATGAAACTACTAAAAGAAGACCTCTACTGTCACCAAGGATAATATTTAGCCACCCAGCACGGCACTGTGCTCACAACGAAAAGAGGCACCTACCGCTTGGCTGAAGACAATGTCCCTTCTCAGAGTCAGCATCAAGCACTGAGGCAAGCTGTATGCAAGTTCCTGAAGGAGCACGAATGTCAAGGACTGCTTGGCTCGGTTCACCACTTCTCCCATGCAGTCCTTCAGGGTAAGGATGAGGGGATACAACTGTTCGTACCAGTCCTCTGTGGGGAAGATGGGGATGTAAGAACAGCAGGATAAGTGAAGGTCTTGGAAGATGGAACCAATTTATTATTCTTCAGTCAATTTGCACATATCATTAAGGATTCACAATGATTAGAAGAGCTCTGACACAAATCTCTCTTCTGAATTCCAGATGTCAGTAACCAGCCACATGTTGGATCTCTCTGCTGGGTACATTGAATGACTTTACAGTAGAACTCCTCTCCACACTGCTCACCTCCAGTCTGTACTGCCTGGATTCTAGTGGATGGGGCCACCAGACTCTTTCTAGGCTGGAAGCAAGTTTTCCTGGACTTCTTCTTCTATAGTTTTCACATTTGTTGGGACATTGAATTAGTTCTACCAGTGTAATAACCCACCAGACATTCACTTACCCCTTGCCCTCTGCCTTCATCATTTCTCAATCTTCACTGGATCAGTCGCCTCCCTCTCCCTCTGGTCACACCCTATTTGAACCCTTTCTCAACAGTGTCCCTGGAGGGGACTTTCGAATCAGTTTGAATTCCATCTCATCACTCGCTCCCTCACTGCCCTACTTTAAACATTTTAAAAACATTAAAGCATTCAGAATAAAGTCCTAAAGCATAAAAGACCCTCCACTATCTGATCTCTGCCTACTTGTCCAGTCTCACCTCTTAGAACATCCTCACTCACAGTCTCGAGTCCCAGGTGAACTGAACACTGTGTATCTTCCCAAACCTCCATGCTCTTTCATTTCAGTGTGTTTGTAAATCCTATCTCCAGTCCTGGAGCACACTCCCTCTACCTGTCTTCCTGGCAAATACTTTATCGTCTCTGCAGACTTAATTTAGGATTTTTGTCTTCCAGGAAGTATGGATTTACTGAAGTATTGGTGGAGATTACTTCCTTTTATGCCCACAGTTCCTTGTTTTTAATGTTCTAGAACTATCCACTCACTGTTTGCCCTAAAAGAAAGGGAGCTCACTGACAGTAAGAAATTTATATTTTAATCACTGAGCCTAGCATAGAATCTAACATGTAGCAGGTATTTAATCGGTTTTAATTGAATGAGTACAGTTAAAATAAATGTGACAAAAGTTTTTACAGATAGAGACAAAAATGAAAAAATCAAGTTTTTGACAATTCAAATAGGTTTTCTTCAAATCAGGATACAACACTGAAACCATCTGTGCTTTTTGTACGTCTAGGTACCAAACATGTTTCGATTATATAATTATGACATTGGCACATGATATAGAAATAAGTTTTATTATATTTTAGTTTATTTAGATATCAAGGTCCTGATAAATGTCAAATACTATATATTCCAAACTGTTTGACATTCCATTAACATATACATAAGTTAATACTAGCATGACAATGATATCTTTTTTTTTTTTTTACAAATAGTTTATTGTCAAATTAGTTTCCACATAACACTCAGTGCTCATCCCCAAAGTGCCCTCCTCCATGCCCATCCCCCCTCCCCCCCACATCCATCAGTCCTCAGTTTTTGTCAGCATTCAAGAGTCTCTCATGGTTTGCCTCTCTCCCTTTCCCCCACCATTTCCGCCCTTCTTCTCCCCCTTGTTCCTCAGTTAAGTTCCTCCTAATCCTCCTATACGTGCAAACATATGATATTTGTCCTTCTCTGCCTGACTTATTTCACTCAGCATAACACCCTCAAGGTCCATCCATGTTGCTACACATGGCCAGATTTCATTCTCATTGCCTTGTAGTATTCCATGGTATAGACAAACCACATCTTCTTGATCCATTCATCTGTTGATGGACACTTAGGCTCTTTCCATGTTTTAGCTATTGTGGAGAGTGCTGCTATGAACATTGGGGTCCATGTGCTCCTATGCCTCAGCATTTCTGTATCCCTTGGGGAAATTCCTAGCAGTGCTATTGCTGGGTCCTAGGGGAGTTCTATTGTTAGTTTCCTGAGGAACCTCCACACTGTTTTCCAGAGGGGCTGTACCAGTTTACATTCCCACCAACAGTGTAGGAGGGTGCCCGTTTCTCCACATCCTTGCCAGCATCTAGAGTTCTCTGATTTGCTCATTTTAGCCACTCTGACTGGTGTGAGGTGGTATCTCAGTGTGGTTTTGATTTGTATTTCCCTGATGAGGAGGGATGCTGAGCATCGTTTCATGTGTCTGTTGGCCATCTGGATGTCCTCTTTGGAGAAGTGTCTGTTCAAGTCTTCTGCCCATTTCTTCACTGGGTTGTTTGTTTTTCGGGCGTGGAGTTTGGTGAGTTCCTTATAGATTCTGGATATCAACCCTTTATCTGATATGTCATTTGCAACTATCCTTTCCCATTCCGTTGGTTGCCTATTAATTTTCTGGGTTGTTTCCTTGGCTGTGCAGAAGCTTTTAATCTTGATGAGGTCCCAACAGTTTATTTTTGCTCTCGATTCCCTTGCTTTTGGGGATGTGTCAAGTAAGAAGTTGCTGCGGTGGAGGTCAAGGAGGTTGTTTCCTGCTTTCTCCTCTAGGGTGTTGATAGTTTCCTGTCTCACGTTCAGGTCCTTGATCCATTTTGAGTTGATTTTTGTGCATGGTGTGAGAAAATGATCTAGTTTCATTCTTCTGCATGTTGCTGTCCAGTTCTCCCAACACCATCTGTTAAAAAGGCTGTCTTTTTTCCATTGGATATTCTTTCCTGCTTTGTCAAAGATCAGTTGGCTGTAGACTTTTGGGCCCACTTCTGAGTTCTCAATTCTGTTCCATTGGTCTATGTGTCTGTTTTTGTGCCAATACCATACCGTCTTGATGATGACAGCTTTGTAGTAGAGGCTGAAGTCTGGGATGGTGATCCCTCCCGTTTTGGTTTTATTTTTCAGTATTACTTTGGCTATTCAGGGTCTTTTGTGGTTCCATACAAATTTTTGGATAGTTTGTTCTAGTTTTGAGAAGTATGCTGGCGCAATTTTGATTGGAATTGCATTGAATGTGTAGAGTGCTTTAGGTAGTAATGACATCTTAACTATATTTATTCTTCCTATCCATGAGCATGGAATGTTTTTCCATTTCTTTGTGTCTTCTTCAATTTCCTTCATAAGGTGTCTATAGTTTTCATCATACAGATCTCTTGTATCCTTGGTTAGGTTTATTCCGAGGTATTTTATGGTTTTTTGTGCAATTGTGAATGGGATCAGTTTCTTGATTTCTCTTTCAGTTGCTTCATCATTGGTGTATAAAAATGCAACCGATTTCTGTACGTTGATTTTGTACTCTGCAACTTGGCTGAATTCTTGGATCAGTTCTAGTAGGCTTCTGGTGGAGGCATGACAATGATATCTAATAGAAGTGTATGCATGCAGAAAAATTCATTATAAATCAGGATCTGAAATGCTATGATCTTCTTAGCACAAAAGTCTAAACTTTGTCGTGAATGATATAAGCAGTCAGTAACCAGTTAAGACTTTGGAAGAGTTATAAGGAATGATAAAAAGAATCATAATTACCATTGCACCATATCCACTGTCACTTATTTCATGCTGTGTTGTAATAAACTAGATGAAATAAACCAAAATGGTTGAAAGAATAACTAATGACCCCCACTTAATAAAAAGATGTGCTCTTGTTAATATTTAATGTAAACACTTATGTGATGCTATAATGCAAAATGCATTAGGAACATTATGAGTTATTATTAAAATATATTGTAGAATTAAGTGTTATGATAGGAATGTAAAAAAAAAAAAAACCAGTAGAGATGGAGAATCCAATGAAGGCCTATTAAATCTGTAATTATTTAATGAAGGAGTCACCTGTGAGCAGCCTTGGTTGAAAAATGAACAACAGTTCATTTTAAACAAGCATTGTCTAATAGTGATTTTTATGTCATTAGTACATGTAAAAGGGCATGTGAATGTGCATCAGCCTTTTTTTAAGAATAAAAGACATATCAGCAGACATTAAAAAGGGATGTTCCTTATTCTTATCTTTTTTTCATATTTACATTCTTTATCTCCCATTCTCTCCCACCCTCTTATTATTCTCGATATGAATGTTTAGACTGATACATACATACATACACAAGGAAGACACATAATAAATTGACAATAAATTGATGTAGATTTCTATCTTAAAAGATAACAAAGGGCAAAATGATTTTGTTCTGTGCTTAAGTCCTAGAGATGAGCTTCTACTAAAGAATCTCAAACACAAAATAAAGCTTGTGTGCAGTAGGTGGCGCTGCCTTATTAGGCAGAAGTAGAACTACTTTGTGTCACTATTCCATTCAAGCACCTGATTTATACCACTTTATTCATAGCATTGGTTTAGGTACCTTGCACCATACCATCTTGTCAATAACTTGATCAAGGGAGTTGTATGCTCTTCCTCATTAGAAAATGGAAAATAAACTTAAGGGTACACTTACTTCTCTTGAAAGACACTAAGTGACAGCTAAAATTTAAATATAGATCTTTGTTTTTCTTGAATATCTTTCTTTGCAAATTTCTTCATCAGCACCAGGATAATTTCCTTTCTCACTTCTAAACGTCTCCTCACACTTACTTAACCAGTTGATTCTTACTCATAAACTGCAATCATATAATTTAAAAAAGGAGTCCAATTTCTAGCCTTAATAGAATAAAACTGAAAACATGAAAAAATACACTGATAATATCAAACCTAGGAGCATGCTAACAATAGTTCAGTGTCTCCATTTATTATAATTACATATTCATTTTATAGGTAATATTTAAAAAAAATTACCATATAATAAAACATTAATTATAAACAAGAAAAATGTAAGTTTGTGAGGAAGGTAGAATGGCTTAAAGATTACAGTAGCAAGCTTCCAATAGAAAAGCATGAGCGAGAAAGCTAAAATTATATTTTGTTTTCTGGAAAAGAAATAATTTAAGTTCACCAGATAAAAGAAAAACCCACACTGGCAAATGCAAATTGCAATGACTAGAGGTTTTGTTCTCTGTTAATATTCACTCACTGTAAATCTCAGATTCTCAAATAAACACAATGGTGTATGACAGACCAAAGAA